ACATGTCAAAATTGATTTAACCAGAAACCTATTGATGAATATTTGAGTTATTATGAAATCTCTTACTCTTATAAATGGTACTACAATAAATCTGCTTACTCAACAGTCATTTTGCAACCCCTGCAAGTAAGAATTTTAGTGTGCATTCCTAAAAGTGGAATTCCTATACGGGTCAAAGGATATGTGCGTTTGTAATTTTGATGGTATTTCCAAATTGTCCTCTACAGAGAGTATGAGTATGTTATTTTGCTACATTCTTATCAACACTGTATTTTTTCAGACTTTTTGATCTTTTCTGATTTGATTGTGAAAAATATCTCTTGTAGCTTTGATTTGTATTTCTTTTATGTGAATAAGTTGGAACATCTTTTTATGTGTTTACAAGCTAGTTTTATTTCCTTTTATGGGCTTTTAAAATTTGCCTATTGATCTTTATCTTATTGATTTGTAGGAGCTCTTTATATATATTAAGAAAAACATTCCTTGGCAATTCTTGCTTGTTTATACTTCCATGTGTATTTGTGTTATAGAATCAGCTTTTCTAGTTACCAGCCACACTCATCTAGAAAACAATCCAGTTGGCCTTTTTATTCTGATTGTGTCGAATTTCTAGATGAATTTAGGGAGAACTGACATTTCCATAACATCTGTTTAAACTTTCTTTTGTGTCCTTCAGTAGATTTTTAAAATTTTTCTTCATATAGACAATGCATATAAGAATCTTACTAGATATTTTTATAAATGGGGTATTTATGTTTTTATAAGTTGTTAATTACTGTGATTTAATTCTGTAGCTATAATAGCATTTTCTTAATTTGCCTATTGCTTGAGATGTATTTTCCTCATTATTTGCAGATAAATAATCATATGCAAAAAAATTTTTTTCTCATTTAAAAATTTTTGTATCTCTTATTTTGTCTTATTAAGAGTGCTCTATTATACAACTCCAGAGGGCACTGTTGTGTTGGCCATTCCTTCCAGAATAATAATGAATCATTATGGTGAAAAAGGACATCTTTTTCTAATTCTTAACTTTGTGAATGTTTCTAGTATTTCTCTATTAAAATATGATGCTGGCTTTGGGGTTGAGACAGATCTATATTTTATCATGTTAAGGAAATAGCCAGGTATTCCTATTTTATTGAGGTTTTTATCGTGAAAGGATGTAATATTTTATCAAATATTTTAGTTTCACCAGAGTGGTGACTCATGATTTTTTTTGTTTTGTTTTGAATTTTGAATATGATGAATTTTAAGTATAAGTTTTTACATATTGAACCATCTTTGCATTTCCAGAATAAATTCTACTTGGTCATGGACTGTTATTCTTTTATTAATAATATGCTGCCAATTTGGATTCTATTTCCTTATATTTAGGAATTTTGTGTTGATTTTTCAGATATGAGATTGGTTTATGAGTTTGTGCATTTTCTTTTTGGGTTTTGATACATACTGTTCTATTCATGAAAAGAGTTTGGAAACTTATTTTTCTATGCTTTTAAACAATTCAGACTGGGCATAGTGGTTCATGCCTGTAATCCTAGCACTCTGGGAGGCCATCATGGGAGGATTGCTTGAGCCTAGGAGTTTGAGGTTACAGTGAACTATGATGATGCCACTGCACTCTAGCCTGGCTGACAGAGTGAGACAACAACAACAACAGCAACAACAACAACAACAACAAAACAATTTAAAGTGTATTGAAATTATATATTTCCTTAGTCATTTAGTAGAGTTCTCCTTAGAAACTCTCTGAGCCTGTATTTTCCTGAAAGAGTTCTTCAGTAACTTTCTCTATACTTTCTATGGTTTGTTTCGCTTTTCTACCTCTTCTTGGATCAATTTTGATAATTAATATCTCCCTAAAACACTATATGTTTAGTTCATATTTTCTAATTTATTTGCTTGGAATGGAACAAAATCACCTTCTTTTATCTTCTTTGGTATCAGTGGTTATTGCCTCATCATTTTACTTAAGGATTCTTGATGGAAAAAATAAGTGATAAATCAAAAATATCCTAGAATGTATTTTTAAAATGACATAAAGGAGAATACATTTCACTTAGCATCCATATTTTATTAAAATATAAATTATTTTTAAAATAGCAACTGTAAAACCTAGAAGTTTACATTAAACATTTCCTTTCTGACCACTTTCTTCTCTTCTGACAGGCCCTGAAGAGGAGAGTGACGATGACTCTCATCTTGAAGGCAGAGATCCTGATACTTGGCATGTTGGTTTCAAGATCTCGTGGGACATAGAGACACCTGGTTTGGCAATACCCCTTCACCAAGGAGACTGCTATTTTATGCTTGGTAATCTTAGGAGAATCAAAATTATATTGATGCTCTAGTGTCTAAATTTTAGATTATTGGCATATTTTGAATATGTCTTTTAAAATTTTTGAGTATTTTATATTAATAATGAAACTTCTTTATAAGAACATGTAACTGTTTTTTTTTTTTTTTTTGAGATACTGCTAAAATTTTAAAAGTTGCTTTTCTTTTTATTCTAAGTATTTATGGAGTTCCCCAAATGTGCCAAACAATTTATAGGATTCTTCATCAGAGCCATTAAATCATCCAACTCAACTTCTCAGTGTAACTTTTTAAAATATTTCCCTGTCTGTATACGTTTTTAATAGTGAGAGAGTTTTTTCTCCTTTCGAATTTAGTTTCTTCTCAGGAACAGCTGACCCGACACCGGGCCTTTGTCTCCTTTTGTCATTTGGTTCTATGGGAAGCAATATTTCAGCTGTGCTTAGGCTAACCAAAGCCGTGGCGTTTGTGGGGCTTTGTTTCTTGCTTCTTTGCTTTAAGTTTTTGGACTTTCTACTTGTTTTCCCATGCACAGTGTGCAAACAGTGTCCTTTTTTATTCACCGACCTTCTCAGGGTTTAATCTCTACTTGGCTCTAGCTCCTGATTCTTCAGGGTTTATCTCACTCCTATCTGTCTGGGGAAATCTACTCATACGTTGGTTTTGGTGCCAGGAAGAACCAGGGCTCAAGCCCAGAATTTATGATAAGAATTAATTCCCAGTTAATTGAGTATTTGCAGAGAGTCCACTGTGTTCCAGGTACTATGTAAGGTTCTGGGAGAGGTATTAGAGGTGGATAAATCTTGGTCCTTGCCTTTTAGGAATCAGAGTATGGAGTAACTCTACTACTTGTGCAATTATTTGTGTACTGTTTCTGTCTAAATAAAGTAACATTTTTGTCTTTCACCGAAATGAATTTATTTTAAAAGAAGACTTTGTGTCACTATCTTAAATGGGAAACCAATATCATGAGGTATACTTAGGAGGGTTTTATAAATATCAATCTAGAGAAACTAAAACAGTATTTAGTGGCTACTGCTTTTGTTTGCTGGATATCCTGAGTCTGGGTCCTGGTCTGTCTTTGTTAAAAAAGAGGATTGGTAACTGCTAGAAAGGTGTTCACTGTGTAGTGGTACCAACCTGAGACTTTCTCCTCAGTGTGCGCAGGAGAATTGCAAGATTATTATTATATAGGGGCTCTTTGTCATGGTGTGAGTCAATGATACTTAATGCTGTGTCCCTTTACCTCTTAAATTCTTCTCATGGGGTGATTCCTGCCATTTGTTGAGTACTAATCTAAGCAAGCCGTTAATCTCTTGCCTTTCATTTCACACGTTGCTTTATAGCTTATGCATTAATTTCACATAAGCAATCTCAATCTCCAGACAACTTTGTGAGGGAGATGGCAGAGATTGTTCTTTTTTTAAGTGATTTCCCTAAGATCACTTAGTATGAAGCAGAACAGGGACCAGGATGGGTTGTAGGCTTCTTCATATATGGTGTTTTTCCCACTCTAAATAGGACCTTTTTGACTTGATCCCAGTTTTACTGAAATCTCTATGTGGGAATGTTTTAAGATTGTCTCTTCCCCTCTATCTCCACTGCCTAACATCAGGAACTAAGTTTGTTTTGTTTTGTTTTCTTTTCTTTTCTTCTTTTCTTTCTTTCATCTTTTTTTTTTTCTTTTCTTTCATCTTTTTCTTTCTTTCTTTCTCTCTTTCTGATATGTAATAGTTGTATATATTTGGGGGATACACATGGTATTTTGACACCTGTATACAGTGTGTAATGAATGATAAAATCTCAGTAATTGGGATATCCATCACCTCAAACATTTATCTTTTGTTTGTATAGGGAACATTATAATTCTCCTCTTCTAACTATTTTGAAATATACAATAAATTATTGTTATAGAAACTAAGTTTCTATTCTGACATCCCTATACCTTCGTTGAGTGTCATTTATAGGTAAACAGATTATCAATTCATTTTTTTCTGTACTACCCAAATGTGAATATTTGGCTTGAGTCTGAATAGGTGTTAATTTTAGCCAATAAATAACTTTCCTTTGGATACTTTGATCAGGAGTTTCTATTAGCAACTTGCTTCTCTGAAAGAAATGACAGCCAGAATGGTATCTTAAAATAGCTTTATTAATTTTTTTCTGTATATAAACATAGTAAATATGCATTGTAAAATTCAGCTATATTCCATATATTTAATAACTTATGTGTTCTTTTCTGATTAAAAAAGCAATATGTGCTCATTACAGAGAAAAGAAACTCTGAAAAGTATAAAATAAAAGAATATTGGCCGGGCACGGTGGCTCACGCCTGTAATCCTAGCACTCTGGGAGGCCGAGGCGGGTGGATCGCTCAAGGTCAGGAGTTTGAGACCAGCCTGAGCAAGAGTGAGACCCCGTCTCTACTAAAAAATAGAAAGAAATCATCTGGACAACTAAAAATATATAGAGATAGAAAAAATTAGCCGGGCATGGTGGCGCATGCCTGTAGTCCCAGCTACTCGGGAGGCTGAGGCAGGAGGATCGCTTGAGCCCAGGAGTTTGAGGTTGCTGTGAGCTAGGCTGACGCCATGGCACTCACTCTAGCCCGGGCAACAAAGTGAGACTCTGTCTCAAAAAAAAAAGAATATAAAAATTAGGTTCATGCCTGAGTTAGTGTATTCCTTTTTAGTCTTTTTCTAGACATATAAATGTCTGGAATTATAGTAGTAATATGAATAAAAATAAGTCAAGCTTTCTTTGAATTTTCTCAACAACCCTGAGAAGCAAATATTAGCCATATTGCAAAAGAAGAAATAGAGGTTAAATTTATGTGGGTACTTAACCATGGTTACATAGCTAGTGAGAAGCGTGGATTGTATCTTGCCATTTTATCCTACTTGGGGTCTGACACCCCATGTCAGTCCACCCCTCCTCCCCCAACGTGGATGCCCTCCTCACCCTACTCAAGTGCTGAGCCCTGCTCTGGGCTTTTTTGCCCTCCCTTCACCTCAGCGTGATGCCTCTTCCTCACCTAATGGCTTTAGGACTAGATTGTTCAGGAAGAGAAGAAAAGAAAATGTTGGTGTTCTGTTTGTTTCCTTCTTTTCCATTTTTTTTTTATGTTTTTTTAAATGGATTCACGATGAAAACATTAAATAATTACATTCATTTAATTTACACGTTATAACGAATATAAATTTTGAAATATACATTGGGTCCCTTCAGCTATTATATGTGATAAACTGAAGAAATTAGTGTTACTATTTTATAGCAGCTGTTATCCAAGATCTAAAATCTCCTGATTTCCTACCTTCAGATACAGATGAAATAGTTGGTATCCTACTGAACTGTGCCAAGCCCAGCACAGTGTACCCCAAAGTCTGCATTTAAAATATATTTTCTTATTAAGATATCATATTTGATTTCTAAAATGAATCTTCCTTCATCTCCTCTTATTAAAAAAATCAAAAATAAAAGCAGCCATGGTCTAATAATGCTGCCTTTTCTCTTTACTTTTCAATCCAAATAGCACAAGGAGCCCCATGGAGGGACCTCAGCCCTGTGCTGATATCTGAAATCTGAACTTCATAGCACTTATGAAAAGGAAACAGTTTAGCTCAATTTATAATAATATATTGGTCTGCAGAGGAAGTGCAGACTGAACCCCGCTGTCTCAAGTAAATACTCCAGGGGTGTCTGATGGGGAACGTGTCGGGTGCCTGTAATAAATCCACTGCCTGTGGAAGCGAGTGAAGGCCCTGCTGGCAGTGCCTGAGGACACACTTAACTGGGGTTGTCACGGTTTTACTTTTAAATTGGAATCTTTGCCCTAATCTCAGAGTTAGACATGACCAGATTTGCAAACAGATTTACAGTTTTCACTAATTTTCCAACCAGGACTTCAAAACACACTTAGAGAAAAAAAAAAGTACATTCTGGTCTTGCTCAGAGTAGGATGATTTACTTGGCCACAGATGTTTTCCATAGACTGAATGTAACCAGGGAGTTAGGGACTTACAAATGGCCTGGAGACAAACTGTGGGTTTGTTTTTTGTGGAACAGATTATACAGTTCAAGGGACATCAACGAAATTATGTTCATTAACCAGGAGCTGGGTGTGGAGGTGGGATGTTTCAGGACAAAGGTGAGTGCTAGGTAAACATTTGGGGCAAATCCTGTTTTTTCCCACCTTTAATTTAGTATTGTTTTGTATATGTCACTATTTGTGACTCTGTTCTCTCTGCTCTCTTTACTTTTGTTTTCTTAAACCCAACTAAACCTCACTTTCAAATACCTGTTGTTACTATAACAATTAGCTATTTCAAAGCTGCAGTTAGTTGCCAGGTAAAAATTCCACTGCAAAAAAGAAAAAAGCAATATAAATTGAAATGCATAGCATTTCTTTTTTGGTTTTGCTTTACCTCGCCAACAGTTTAGGGTAGAGTAATAATGAAAAGGCCATGGGATTCTCTGTCAGGTGACCAGGCTCCAGACTGGCTATGCCTTGTTAGCCCCTCTCTGAGTCTCTGCCTCCACTGTAAAGTGGGCACTTAATGATCCTTCCTTACCAGCATAAGTGTGAGTACAAGTAAGAAAATGTATGGAAAGTGCTTTGCAAGCTATGATTTGAATGTGGGGACTTACTATGAAGATTGGCACGTTGGCCATGGCATATTGGTGAACCAGTGAGGCACATGGATGATGGAAGATTGTCCATGCTTTCTTCCTTATCCTGCTTCATGTCCTGAGTTTTGTCAGCATTGCACCTTACTGTTTATATGTTTGTCACATAAAGGAACTACAAGAAAGGGAAATCTCACCAATGGATTCTTGAGGGTGAGAAAAGTTAAAATCTAGCCATTGGTGTATCCAAGCCCTGTGGTAATCAGTCTTACTTTGATTGAGGCTGACTTTACTTACAGATCCTGGGCAGTAGTTTTTTATAGATTAAGTTCACCTTCCTTGAAATACCTATGGCTTAGAGGCAGCAAGAC